GAATCGTCCACCCTAAAACACCCGCCAGATCACAATCACGATCACACCAACTCAACACTTCAACTACAAAGAATTCTATCCAAACCGTCNTAGAACGAAGGCACCTTAAAATTTTAAAAAATTTAATGAATATCGAGAACCTCAGCCAAAAAATCAAATAAATAAACCAATACCACTCTCAAATCATTACCGAATCCCCAAAAAAACAATACTATAACTAAAATTCATAACATCCAAATGCTGCTTACATCCTCCTCGCGAACTGCCTCAAACGAATACTCCGCGCTATCCACTGCAATTGGACGCTCCTTCTCAAAATCAAAATTGAATCGTCCACCCTACAACACCCGCCAGATCACAATCACAATCACACCAACTCAACACTTTAACTTCAAAAAAAAGAATTCTATTCAAACCGTCTAAAATCCGAATCAAAACCAAAATCTTTTCCGCTAAATCTTTCAAAATCTTCTCTAAAATCAACCAAACCAATCGCTAACCCTATTCCCTTCCAGCTGCTTCAGCGTATCCGCCAGCCATAAGTCCGTCTCAGCCCTCGAAGACTTGCCAAACAGGCACCTTCTTGCTGACGATACCTTCACGCTTCCTGTAATATCTACATCCCACTAAAATCATCAATTTCCCCACCTTAATCCTCACAAATCGCTCAAACTCTACCTCTAATCTATCCTCTAATGAAGTCTAAACCTTGTTATCGATCACACCTGATCACCATCATCACCGATCACAATCACCTTCTCATCTGATCAACTGATCTCACCTGAGGCTTCTGATGTAGCTCCTCCCGCCGCCGAATCGACGATATTGACACGCGCTGACCTCGTTTTGACCATCTTTGCCTCACCCCTCGGGGAATTCACCATTCGAACAACAAAATGCAAACAACCCCGTTGAAATACCACCAGTCACCTTCTCGCTTCTCCACTCAAAACAACCACTTCAAAGCACACTCCCTTTGCTATTAATAACAATGACTGCCTGAATTAATCACCTCATGAAACTGTACCCCTAATCATTATCACGTAACGAACCATATCACGATATCACACCCGGAATAAACCCGTCTGAACACTCACGCAGTAACATTTAATAATAACTCTAATAACCACATCCTAAACACTTTTTTGAAACCTCCCTCCTCGTTTACGCGGCGCCTAGTGGCAGATAACTAACTCAACACGGTATATATCTTACTATAGACAAAACTATCTATCCATCTATCATGTTCCTCGATATAGCCGAAAGCCGAAAGGTCCGTCGATGTATCGATGTATCATTTTAAACTTCTTAATGATATAGACTTCTGTCAACAATAATAATAAAAATACCGTTCTAAGTTAACACCCAACACACCAATCAAATTCAATAACCAATCTCATAAACAAATACAATCACACACATAATAAGCCTAGCAAAGCCACTATAATGAATCAATAAAACAACACGATAAACAAAGGTCAGTCACATCCCTTCCCATTTGAAGACATCTTGTCTCCATTCGAAGACAACTCTTCCCTTCAAGGCAGCAATAAACCCAAGTAGGCATTCAAATCAGCATTCACTTCGTTACAATCTCCCAATACATCTCATCACCAAACCATTTTACGAACAATAAATAGCATATGACCAAAGCAATAACGATGCCTATTCACGTCATAGAATTGAACGAACGCAATAGAATTTATGAAGGAAGCAAATTAAGTGTAAAAATCAGCAAATTGCAGTGGAATTTACCGAATTTTACTTGGAAAAAAGCGGAAAAATATGGCAGCAATTCGATTTTGATAACAACACCATAAAAATACGCTGCACAAACACGTTTCGGA